ATTGTGTACTGTTATAGTAGTATGATTCCTTAGGAAAGGCCACCAGTTCCTAATTAATCTCCAAACAGTAACACCATAGGGATTGGTTGCTTCCTTGGTGACCCATGAATCCATCTCTCCGTACTTCAGTTTAATCACCTTGCTCCACATTGAGTGTGGTTCATGAGCATATCTCCACAACCATTTCAGCTTTAGAGCCTTGCTTTGGTTCTTCAAATTTTTGATGCCTAATCCTCCTTGTTTTTTCCGGTGATCATAACTTCCCATTTTACCAGATGGCATCCCTTTCTTTTCTTGTTTCCTCGCCAGAAAAAATCCCTTCTTAGTTTATCCAATCTCTGTACTACTCCTGCAGGTATTGGGAACAAAGTTAGCATGTACGTAGGAAGGGCATCCAAGACTGCATTTATCAAAGTGAGCCTGCCCCCCTTTGATAAATATTGTGCTTTCCATCTGACCATCTTCTTCTCACATTTCTCCAAGACAGAATTCCAAATTTCTTTGGACTGTGATTTTGCTCCCAATGGCATCCCCGGGTAGATAGCAGGTAGTGCTCCCACTTATGTGGAGATCTCTTTTCTGTTATTACAGTTCTGCTTCATGTATCTTGGTTTGCTGCAATTTTTTCATGAATAACTTCACTTTTTGACCTGCGGTCTGTTGTTGTTGTATTGTTCTGCTGCACATGTTTGAGTTAAATATCTCAAGCTTGTGTTTTTCTTTGCCTGTCTGCTTAGAGGTAAGTTTGGTTTGTTCTTCAAAGCTTATGCATTCTGTTGATGTTTATAAACCTATCGTCAATGAATTACTATTCAATAAGTATGTGTTTCTTTTTAAACCATCTAAATTCAATTGGTAGAAACGTCAAGAAGAGTGCTTAGTGGGGAGACAACGCCGAAGCGAGGAAATTCTTGCGAACAAGGAAGCATGTGGACTCAGAAAGGAAGCTCCCGATAGGAAAAGAGAAGAAATGAACCAATGACATCATCCCAAACCGATTGCTTCTCTCGAGATAGTAGTGAGTAAGGAAACTGCTTTGTCTATTAATGTAGTTCCAAGTCTTCGATATCCCTTGCAGACTGACAAGAATTTGTACTGATATAACGGATCTCCCTCCGAGCCGCATGTACGACTTTCAGCGAATACGATTTTCCACAGAAATCTTTATGTATCTATGATATTGAGTATGAATTTAGGAAGTACGCACTGCTCTTGAAAGCTTTTAAGTTTAGTTGATAACCGAACCAGCTTCTTATGGATGAGACAACAACAACATACCCAGTGAAATCCCACTAGTGAGGTTTGGGGAGGATAGAGTTTATGCGGACCTTTCCATTACCTTGTGGAGGTAGATAAGCCGTTTCAATTCATATGCTGAGAAATTGTGCTAATTTTCTCTTTGATTTTGCTAGAGCCATTGGGTTTCTCTAGAACTCTGTTTCTTAGATGTGGGGATATATTTTCTATATTATTGTTCTGCTGCACATTTCTGATTTTGGAGAGGTAAATGTCTCAAGCTTATTTTTTACCTTTGCCTGTCACGTATTGGTTTAAAACTTGGGATTAAATTTGTTGGTGTATTTCTTATGAGAAGAAATAATTGCAATATACACCTCTTGAGCCGAGGGTCCTTCGGGAACAACCTTTCTACCTACACGAGGTATTGGTAATGTCTACGTACATTCTATCCTCTCCACACCTTACTTGTGGGATTTCACAGGGTATGTAGTTGTTGTTTCAGCCGTTTTAGTTCCCAGCATTGTTATGCATAATTATAATTGCCATCAAATAATTGATTAAACTAACATTAGTCTTTCAACTTGAGATATTTACATGTCTTTATTGTTCAGGTACTTGCTGCTCTGCTTTGATGTGTTCTTTGAATTTATTTTTGTTATCCTTAGTGCCAGTTGATGAAGTTGTGCAAGTTAGAGATCTTATTGATCAATGTACCAATAAAAGGCTCGGCTAACCTCATTTTTTTGATCTGAGGGTTTATCGAAAATAGTTTCTCTACCCCCAAAGGTAGGGGCAAGTGCATGTTGTTGTTGTTGTTGTACAGTTTTGCTGCACATGCTTGAGTTCTTAAAGGTAAATATCTGAAGCTTGTGTTTTTTCTTGCATGTCTTCTTATTGGTTAAAACATAATATAAGATTAAATTTGTTGGTGTATTTCATATGAGAAGAAATACTTACACACCTCTTGTTGGCCTTTTTAGTTCCTAGCATTATGCATAACTATAATTGCAGTCGATTAATTGTTTAAACACCCTCTAGTCTTCAGCTAGCAATATTCACACTATGTTTTTGTTGTTAAGTTACTTACTGCTCTCCTTTGACATATTCAAGGAATTTATTGTTGTTACCCTTAATTTCAGTTGATGTAGTTGTGCAAGTTAGAGATTTTGTTCAGTTGTTTCGTTGGTTAAACTTCAATTTGATCTTTTTGAAATTCAGTTTTACTTCAGTAGAACTTCAGCTGAACATCTGTAATGATTGTTTGAAACATCTTCTTCTCTGATATTGTCATATTTTGTTCTCGTGGAATGCTCCAAAGATCTTCTATCTACAGTTGTAGCTGTATTATTCGAGTTTTGATTCATACATTATAAAACCCTAGAGTTTTACTTGGATTTCTTGTTTTTGAAATTTATGCCAAGTTTCCTTTGAAATCTTCCAAGTCATATTATAGATTATTATCATCCATTGAAATCTTAATCTTGAGCACCAATTTTGCTTCTAAACTGACATCTTTCTTGTTTACGCGAGTGTTTCATGGATCAAGCTCAGATCAAGCGTTAAATGCAACAACGAGACTTCAATTCAAGTTTCAAATATGGTTGGAGATGTTTGCTTGACCATGCTTTCAGATGATGAGTTTTCTGACAAACATCTCCAGCGATATTTGAAACTTAAAATGAAGTCATCGAGCAAGGATCCAAGAGGAAAAAGCTAGGTTTTCAAGCCAATCTCTGTGTTTCCCAAGAGCTTTGTTCTTCCAGGTATGTATGGTTATTCCTAGTGATAGACTGAGTTCGTCCTCATGCCCTACATCTTAATTCAGGCAGTAAGAGTTAAATCTAGGATTATACCCTTAGCTTCGAGAGTCTCTTATATGAGTCGAGTTATTATTTATGAATTCTAAATTCTTGATTATGAATAATTGCACTATATTATGCTTTGAGATCTTTGAGTAATTATTCATGTTGATAATCCCACATGAACCCTGCTTTCTGAGTTTTGATTGAGAATCTTTAAAACAAGCATCTTTCCTTAAATTTATTTTTGAGAAGTTAGCATGAGTTCAATAGCAAGTTAAAGTATAAATGTCTATTTTGACAAGAGTTTAAGGGAACTAAAGGATTCCCAAAAGTATCATTTTTATGTTGAAAAGAAAGTACTATTTTTCAGAATGGTATAAAGAGCTTTCAGGGATTACAAGAAATTGAGTACAGAGCAATTACCTCTTAAAGAGGCCCTTTTGAGAACTTATCTCAACCCAGAGAGTATTTTTACTTGAGCATTGAGTCATATATTTTGAGAATAGTATTGAGTATCGATATGGGGAAGAGTTTAGTCAATTCACATTCCCCATAAACCATGTAGCTAGTGTGGGATAGGATCGTATTGACATTTGGGCGACTCCTCACTGCCTCTGAGAACGCCTATTAGATGGATCCATGAGTTGAGTATGTTCAATACCCCGACAAGGTACAAGACAATTCTGACAACGTGGGCGAGATGCTGTATCATCTCAAAGCTCATAGTGATGGTTGTCGGTTAAAGAATCTCCCTGATTGAGTAAAGGGTATTTCATTATCATATTTATATTTGACACTTCATTGAGTTAACATTTTATTAGTAAATCATTTAAATGGTTTTATTTCTACTTATGCTTTACATTCAGTTGAGTATGTTGCTTCAGCCTCTTCAGTTCAGTTATTTATTTTCCTCAGCTATATTACATACTCGTACATTCAATGTACTGATGTTATTCGACCTGCATCTTTTCATGATGCAGGTACAACTGTAGCTGTATTATTATTCCAGTTTAATTCAGACATTATAAAACCATAGAGTATTACTTGGATTTGTTGTTTTTGAAATTTACGTCAAGTTTCCTTTGCGAACAGCCTTCCTGTTAGGGTTCTCTTTTGGGGATTTTAGACTTGAGATTTCAACTTGCTGGTTCTCCTAAATCATTCTGGTGGAACTGGTATGACTGATACACCTGCTGGAGCTTGGCTATTTGTGGTTGCTCTAATCCTGCAGCATGACATAGGAGTAAACATTTTACTAGTTGGTAAGTTGACAAACTCTCTCCTACCCTGTAAACATGGAGTATAGGAACTTTTAAGGTTTTAGTTGTGCTAACTAAAGTTGTGTTCTATTAATGTGTAGAAATAATATATGCTGAAAGAATCATAAAAATGCTGATGTATTTTGCAATTCATGATTGTAGCCAGTTCGTATCATGTTTATTTATAGGACATCGAGTCACTTCTGTCCCTTTGGTATTTGGTCATTTCCTGCCAAGCTTGCTTCGTTATAATTCTACTAAATTATCCTGTTATGTGGCGGAGAAACTTTAATAATGATTATAACTTGTTCGTCTATACATGATTAATAAGCAATGATCTTAAAAATAGGTATTTGAGAAGAAAGCCAAAATGATGCACAAGCCAAGGTTTCTTTCCCATTGAAACATGGAAGATTCTTTTGCTAATACCTAGGCATGATGCATGTGCCTCAACAATTATTTCTGAAACAAGGCATTGTTAGGTCGGATTGATACTGCATTTGCCTTTCAAAATTATAATGTGCAGAGGTAGGTCAAAATTGATTAGGCTTTCAGTTCCATACTAAGATTGACCTCTTGGAAATCTTTAAGATGTGCGGTAGTGTCTTTCAATGGAATTTCATGATATTCTTTTTGCGAGTTCATTTTGCCAATCTAGGAGATCTGCAAATATAAATCCAAATTGACTCCTGGTTCAGCTGATTCTTCAACTTCAGATGTATCGTTTGTGAAGGAGTCAATTGTTGACATTGAATTTCTGGAGATGCACAATCCTCTTGGGATTATATTGGACAATTTCAATGTGTTATTGCGGAGACAACATGAGGCTCATTAAATCTTGAGAATCTTGGACTAGAGGGATCTGACATTCAAGGGGATATCTTCTTTGAACTTTGATGCACATGGCAGAGTAAGGTTGGCTCAACTTGAAGAATAGACAAGATTCCATTATTAGCAGCGTCCTTGCTTGTTGGTGAGTGCAAAGGTATCGATAGGGCTATGAATGACATCCACCAATCCAGCAAGCTGGGCTGGAAATGCTAAAATCTTAGGGACCCTACATGATGCCCAACCATACATGATCAGCAATGGAGATTTATGTAGCTGAGGTAACTTTTCAAAAGTTGAGACACATTTATACAAATTTGTATGAATATTTCCAATATTTGAGACACTCTAAGCTTCATCAAGATTTCATGCACTTGGAGCCTAGTAATATATTGAGTTCGTCATTTCTTTTGATAATTGATTGCTTTTCTTGCAACAGGCTATCAGTGCTCACAACCACATTTACTGTCTCATCAATCTAAGGTACATGTTGTCATTGCTGACTGCCAATTTCTATGTATTTTTTTGTTTCTGACAAACCCAAAAAAAAGAGAATGGTAGTAACAATGTATTACAAATAAATGAAGAAGCTTAAAAAGTTCCTACATAATATTCGTAATGTGGAAAAGACAACTACTTTATCTTATTGTGGAATGCAATACACAAAATGTGCAAACATATACTGAAGAGTAACACAAGAAATAAAAGCGGAGCGGTTCCCCTTGTTGGTGTATAATGGTATTGAAATTCTTTATTTCTCTGTTTCCTTGTGATTGCAAGTCATGTTTTCTTTAATCATTCATTCAGATTCAGACGTTTAAATCTTAATGAAAACAAATGAGGCTTAAATGACACGTCTACCTAATGTTGTTGAGAGTCCAAACTGCCCTCAATATTGAATTTTAATTTGATGAAACAATCATGTTGATTCTAGATCCTCACTCACTCTTCTAATAGCAAATAATATATAATCCGACAAATGTTGAATTTGGAATGTATTAATAAAATTTATTTTCCTTAGAGAAGTCATTTTTCTAATTTTAAAATAATTTAGTAGATGTTTTCCTAAACAACTCAAATATCATGTATTCACAAACCCCCCTTGAAAGCTGTCTACTATATAAACCACTCTCCCTTTTCCTTTTTTGCTCATTCATTCTTCTTCTCTTCATATAAAAGGTTTCTTCTGTGTACCAAATAATGCAGAGGAAAAATAAAAGGCGGCGATTCCATCAAGAAACCCCCCTGAGAGATCTCTATATCAACCACTCCCCCTCTTCTTTTTTAGCTCACTCATTCATTTCATCATATAAAAAAATTCTTCTATCGGTTTCAAATGACGCAGGAGGAAAATCAGCAAGGCGACGATTCCATCAGGTGAGATGCGTTTTAGGGGGTGCGAGGAAGATGCCACGGGGGAGGTACACAACTGAGATCAGTGATCCTGGCCAGAGGAGAAGTGTTTTGCTTGGAACATTTGATACACCGAAGAAGCTGCTAGGGCTTAAGACCGGCGGTGAGGAGGTATCACGGCCACATGAGGTAACTAATTTTACTCTAGATAACCTCCAAAACACCCGCGATTTTCTCGAGAAGCTTGTTTGCAAAAAACCAACAACAAAAGAATAGAGCTCCAACATTCTTATGGATATTCAGAGCATTAAAATGATGATTCAGTGCGGAACCAAACATCGACTCACATTTTCGTGTTGATCAATGAATAGAATCTATACATCGCTATCAAAAAAGAATCAACGATCTAGCTATCTCGATCGGGAAAGAATCAAGGATATATACATCTCGATCGGAAAATAATTGAGGGTCTATACATCTTGATCTGAAAAGAATCAAGGATCTATACATCTCGATCAAAAAAGTATCAAGAGAACAAGAAAGAATCAGAATTGATCCATAGATTTCTCGAAATTAACAAAGTTGGTCCTCTCTTATTGTTTCATTTTCCTTTTATATTTTTTGAATTTGAAAGGAAATTAAAAGAAAAGGGACTTACGAAATGTCATACATTTAATATTCGATGACGGTTTGACATGCTCTTTGACAGTGCAAGGGTGACCTCTGAGGTTATCTTGTGGAAATTTAGTTACGGCTATGTGGCTGTGATACCTCCTCGCTGCTGTATCATAAGCCCTAGAAGCTTTTTTCGATGCATCAAAAGTCTTGAGCCAGAAACTTCTCTGGAAGGGATCTTTAATATCAGCTGTGTACCTCCTCCGCGGCATCTTCCTCACACCTCCTTATAACGCATCTCACCTGAGGGAATCGTCGTCTATCAATGACTATTCAATAAGTATGTGGTGCCTTTCAAACCATCTAAATTTCAAGGGACATTTGAATCAATTCTTTGTGAATATATGACAGTTTAGGTGATATGCATTTGTTTACCAGGTAATTTCTTTGTACTCTTTAATGTCACTTATCACTTTATCGAACTGTGCAAATCAGTTTCAAATTTGATGGGCATTCGCTGTTTATGATACATATCGGACAAGAATAGAGAATTGAGCGGATGTTCATCAGTACTTCACTGACGAAGGACTATATTTCCAATTAGAAATTATCCATCTCCACTTACAGTGACACATGATTGGTATGAGTTCGTTCATTTCATTGTGTTATTTTCCCCCATTTTGGTGATGTTGCGAAATGAAAGTTCACAATTGGTGGAGTAATACAGAGCATATCATATAGGTTAGGTGTTAATTAGTTAGTGGTAGTCTAGTGACAAGTTGTAGTGGTTGAATGAATAGTTCTCAGCAGGCTCTAA